CCCCAAAACCCCAAAACCCCAAAACCCCAAAACCCCAAAACCCCAAAACCCCTTTCACTTTAAAATTTTATAATATAAAAGTTTCAAATGAGCTCTATCTCTGAAAGTTACGAAGAAGATAGCAAACAGAGGGAAATGCAGGTAGGGAGAGACTGGATTTAATGGGATTGGGTGAAGGAAGTGGGGGATGGGAGTTTTAGGGGGTTTGGGGGTGGTAGGGGGGTTAGTGATGGGGGGTTGGGAGAGGAAGGGTTGGTTGGAGAGGGAGTAGGGATGGGGAAGAGGGGAAGAGGGGAAGAGGGGAAGAAGTGAAGGAGGGTCTGTATGAGGTTACATTTAGGACGGATTGAATAAATCAAGGTCAAGGGGAGAAGGGATAAAAATTCACTTATCTAAGTCAAGTTCTCACTCACACTCTGACTCCTCAGAGAATTCAGACGATGATGGGTCGTATTATGATTCTGACTCTGAAGAAGATGGTTCTAATATTGAGGAGGAGTTTAAGCCAACAATGAAGGAGAGGTATCTTGAAGAAAAGAAGCGAAAGGGGAAATATATTCTGAAGCATAACTCTACTTTTAGGCTGAATTGGGACTTGTTCATTATGCTCTTAGCTATCTACAATTGAGTATCCATCCCATTCGATACAGCCTTCCAGCCAGAGATTGTGATTTATTATGAAATTTTTGAAATCGGTATCGATATCCTATTCGCTGCTGATGTTGCTATTAATTTTAGGACCAGTTTTGTACATCCCAAGACAGGACTAGAAGTTGTTGAAGGCAAGCTAATTGCCAGAAATTATGTCTTTTCAGGAAGATTCTGGATTGACTTGCTTGCTACTATTCCTTTTGAAAGGCTATATTCAATATTCCAAGCAGGAGCAAGTCCAGGAACCCTTGAATTATTGGGATTGTTGAAATTGATCAGGCTTTTAAGACTTGGAAGAGTCATTCGGTATATGAAGTTCAAGACAGGATTGAAAATTGGCATTAGAATTGTGCAACTTCTGTTCTTCCTATTACTCATTGTACATTGGATTGGATGTTTATGGTATATATTAGTCAGAGATACAGACTCTTGGATGCCACCTAAAGATCTTGATGCACAAGAGACAGACTTCTACCAAGACTCAACTTTGAAGAAATACTCCACTGTTTTTTATTATGCTATTCTTACAATGGTGGGAAATGAGATTGCTCCACGGAATAACTTGCAAACTATCTTTGCTACTTTTGTTGTTATTTCAGGAGCATTATTGAGTGCCTTTATCTTCGGTAACATTGCTGCTCTCATGGCAACAATGAACAGGAGAACAAATTACTTTGACGAGATAATGGATCTATCATCAGCAACAATGAAGTCAATTAGGCTGCCTTATCCAATGCAGGAAGAAGTATATTCCTATCTACATAAAATCCAAGACACTCCTTATCTACAACAAGATATTGACAGATTCTTTGACATTCTAAGCGATCCTCTAAAGAAGCAGATAAACGCTCAGATCTACTTGCCAATGTTGAAAAAGATATCATTATTAAAGCATGCAGACTCGACTGAGTTTGCTTTCTTTCTATCACACATGCATTTATCACTCTTCTTGCCTAATGAGATCATCCTCCGTGAGGATATGCATGGAGATGAAATGTACTTCGTCAACAGCGGCAGTGTCGAATGATTCATCACCCATAATGATAACGGTAACAAGGAAACAGAGAAACTGAAGATGCTGAGGAAAAATGAATATTTTGGAGAAGTCTCACTAGTCACCTGCCTCAAGCGCTCGGCTTCAGTCAGAGCTAATGATTATGTCTACTGAATGAAGCTGTGCAGGAAGGACTATAATATCCTTGAGAGCAATTTCCCTCATCTTGTGGATGAGATGAAGAAGAGAGTCAGGCAATTCAATGACTCAAAAATGAGCTTCAGAAGACAAGCCATGGCCAATATTCCTTGGCTGAGATTTATAGATCCAGAAATAGTCAAGCAAGTACTCGAGCAAGTTGAGATTCAGAGATATAGCGAAGGTGGTATAGTACTAAAGAAAGGCCATAAATCAGACTGCCTTTATGTAGTCATGGAAGGTAGAGTTGACATTCTCATCTCTGATGGCTCAAATGGAGAGGAGAGACAGTTATTCGATTGGTTAAATAAGGGATCCTGATTTGGAGTATTTACTTTCCTAGATCCCAATTCTATCCAGATGGTTACTTTCCAGGCAGCTTCTGAATGAGTCATTGCTACACTTTCTAAGCAGAAAGTTATGGCTCTCGAGCAAAAATTTTATCAAATTAGAGACTCATTGATGAAAGTAAGAGTAAGCTTGCTGGAAGGAACTGCAAATGAGTTTGATTTTTATCGTTATCTTCCAAAAAGAGATAAAGATCTCCCTGATGAAATCAGGAGTCAAATTCGGAAGAAGTTCAGAGCAGTGTTTCAGCTATTCGTTCAAAGGGTCAGGAATAATAGCTCAAAAGAGGTTGAAACTCTGAAGAAAATTCAAGACATGATGACTCTGAGACAGTTCAAGATCTATGAGCTCAATGATTTCAAAATTGATGCAGATATTACATCTGATGACCAGGATTTGATCAAGAACACCTTGATTCCTATTGCTGACATTATCAAAACGAGGACTGAAAATTTCCAGAGTTTTCAGAAGAACAACCAAAAATTGTTTGTTGATTACTTCAGGAAGAAGGCAATTAAGTCTGGAGCTCATATGAAGCAGAATGTCCCTGGATTTGACAGAAATCCTTCATTCGTACACCAGCACTCGTATTCTTCTCTACCAATGGAGTCTGGTACAAGGAAAGCTGAAAGTAAGAAGCCTAATAAGGATGTGATAAATGCCAAGCTCAAGCTGGCTGAGACCCATGAGATCCCTTCAGAATGGGAAAATAAGGTAGAAAAGGTAAATTTCCTACTCTAATCCTTCTAGATAACAAATCTCCTTGAATACCAAAATGCCAAGATCTGCAGAATGATAGAGGAATTCAAGGATGAGCAGGACGAAATCGAGAATGAGATCAAAGAAGTTATGGGGAAGGTAGAATAACCCATTACAACCCTGATTCTTCACAAAATATATATGGTTAAGAATCAATAAAAATTCAATACACAAGATCGATGGTGGGGTTTTGGGGTTTTGGGGTTTTGGGGTTTTGGGG